CAAACTATGGAAAGAGCCTGGATGTCCATCGACAGATGAATGGATAAGGAAGAAGTGGTGTATATATATATATATATAGACTATTACTCAACCATTAAAAAATGAAATCTTGCCATTTGCAACGACGTGGATGGAACTAGAGGGTATTATGCTAAGTGAGATAAGTCAATCAGAGAAAGACAATTATCATATGATCTCACCGATAGATGTTTTTTTAAGAAACAAAACAGAGGATCATAGGGGAAGAGAGGAAAAAATGAAACAATACGAAACCAGAGAGGGAGACAAACAATAAGAGACTGTTAATCATAGGAAACAACTGAGGTTGCTGGAGGGGAGGGGGATGGAGGGATGGGGTAACTGGGTGATGGACATTAAGGAGGGCATGTGATGTAATAAACACTGGGTATTATATAAGACTGATGAATCGCAGGCCTGTACCTCAGAAACCAATAATACATTATATGTTAATTAAAAGAATTTAAATTTTTAAAATGTTAAAAAAAAGAAATTTAAAAAAACGATGTGTTTTATACTTTTTTGTTTTCAAGTAACAAACCAAAATACAAACAATGTCAATTTCAAACAATGGGGTTTGGTTAAATGCATTGATACATCTAGCTGATAGAATATTATTATACAGTTATTAAAATTAATGCTGAAGAATAGAAATATATCTAATAATATGATGTAATATTATCAAACATGATCTTGATTATGTCAATAAAAATACTAGATGAGGGGGGCACTTGGGTGGCACAGTCAGTTGAGCATCCGACTCTTGGTTTTTGCTCGGGTTGTGACCTCAGGGTCCTGGGATTGAGCCCTGCATCTGGCTCTGCACTCAGTGCCGAGTCTGCCTGAGATCCTCTCTCCCTCTCCCTCTGCCCCTCCCCACCGCGTTCTTTCTCTCTCTCAAATAAATAAATACATCTTTAAAAAAAAAATAGTAGATGAGGGGGGCACCTGGATGACTCAGTAGGTTAAGGGTCCAACTCTTGATTTTGGCTCAGGTCATGATCTCAGGGTCGTGAGATCAAGCCCCGAGTTGGGCTCCTTGCGCAGCATGGTCTGCTTGAGATCCTCTCTCCCTCTGCCTCTGTGCCCACCCCCATTCATGCACACTCAATCTCTCTCTCTCTCTCTAAATAAATCAATAAAATTTAAAAAATAAAAAATACTAGATGAGGCATATGCATGGGAAAACATTTAAAGGCTTATTTACCAAAATACGAACAGTGATTATCTCCAAGTGCTGGATTATAAGTGATTCATTTTGTCAGAGCTACTATTGCTAGACATTGGCAATGAACCACAGCTCCCAGTAGGCCATGCAATCACAAAGGTAAACAACCAATACACTTACAACCATTCTGTACCCATGCAACCATTCTGTTTTTCACTTTCAGTACAGAATTCAATGAATACATGAGATATTCAACACTTATTGTACAATAGGCTTTGTGCTAGATGATTTTGCCCAACTGTAGGCTCATATAAGTGTTCTGAGCATGTTTAAGGTGGGCTAGGCTAAGGTATGATGTTGAATAGGTTAAGTGTATTAAATGCATATTTAATTATGATATTTTCAACTTGCGATGGGTTTATCAGGCTATAACACCATCATAAAGTGAGGAAGATCTATACTATGCCTAGAGACTTCTTATTTCTTGATTTTTTTTGTGAGCGCATAAATTTCTATACTGCTCAGTTTATTCAAATTGATGTGTTCTGTTACATGCAGGTAAACACATCCTGATTGACATAATTGGAAAAAACAGAGTTCAGCAATCTTCCTGTAGAGAATTTTGTTGTAACATAACTCCCAGGGAGGAGGCAAGAATTGGGACCTAAAGGTTGTCCAAAACAAAAAATGACCTAGAACTTGAGGAACTGAGGAGTTGGTAAAAATTCATTTTGGTGAAACCTTCTTTGATCAGAACGTGATAAAAGGAATTAAACAGTTTTCTGCTAAATGTAACTAAATAATCACCATTTCATATTTTTTTATTTTTTCTTCCAGAAAAAAACTCGGTTTTTGTTTGACAAAAATGTTCAAAGCAAATACATTTTTTGATTTTCAAAACTTAGAAGTGACTTATTTATTATTCTCTAAAAGTTTACTTTTCTCTAAAATTTTCCAATACATTTGTTTTTGAAGCACACTGTTGGGTGTCTACTCCCAATTGTAGTATTTTATTTTCATGTAGCTAAATCTATGAAATAATCAGATTGTGATTCAACACAATTTGCTCATGAAATTTATATAGAAGTAGGCAATTTCATAAAAATCTATTAAAACAAGATGAAAATTGATTATTTGGTTAAAGGTACTAAGGAAGGGGCTTCTGGGTGGCACAGTCGGTTAAGCATCTGACTCTTGGTTTCAGCTCAGGTCAGGATCTCAGGGTCCTGGGATCAAACCCCATGTCAGGCTCCATGCTTGGTGTGGAGCCTTCTTGGGATTTTGTCTTCCTCTGTCCCTCCCACTTATGTGTGTGTCTCTCTCTCTAAAATAAATAAATCTTAAGAAAAAAAGTACTAGACAAGTGGTTCAGTTTTAATATCTTCTTGATTTATCTTATAAGTAGCAGAAAAATCTGTTGTGTGAGCTTGTTTTAATTTCTTTTCCTTTGATATTCCTTAAATTCTGAAACTGCCTTTTTAATAGTTGTTAGTATACGTTTACTGATAATTCCTTCTTATTATTTACAAAATATAGTTTGAGACCTTTACCCAGATAGGTAGGCTCAGGTATTAATGAATAACTTTATTATTTCAAGGTTGGGTTCTCTATTCATGTGAGTTTTCAGCCATTGATTTTAACTGCTGTAATTACTAAATGCCTTTGTTGATAATTTTATTTGGCTACTCGTATTTTATTTTATTTTATTTTATTTTTTTTAAAGATTTTATTTATTTATTCATGAGAGACAGAGGGAGAGAGAGAGAGAAGGGAGAAGCAGGCTCCCAAGGAGCAGGGAGCCCGATGCGGGACTCGATCCCAGGACTCTGGGATCATGACCTGAGCCGAAGGCAGACGCTTAACCATCTGAGCCACCCAGGCGCCCTTGGCTACTCGTATTTTAAAACTTGTTTTTAACTAGTGATTTCTAAGTTTTGACATTTGATAATTTGAGTGTTTCTGTACAATGTTTCTGGACTTGGCTTAAGTGTTGAAACCCTTGGTTAATGATCAGAGACATTTAGGTGGTCCTAGGTGGGACTTCTCAACTTTTGTCCACAGGACACACTTCCTCTCCTATCAGTTGTATGCAAATCCTGCTCATTAGTTGTAGCTTCACTCCTCTCTCCATCTAGGAAGCAGAGCTCTACAGGCATTACCTTCAATCCAAAAACAAAATAGGAAATATTAGGAAATATTGGCACTTTTCATCAACAAATTACCAGAACATTCCTCCTGACACTTCATCACACTACACTGACACCGCATGATGCCTCATGACTCCCAGTGAAAAACACTACTCCAGTAGTTATTACAATGCACTGGAAAACAAGAAACAAAAGACAAAAAATAAAGCCACCCCCACCCAATTGGAGAATAACCCTTGTCTGGGCAGTAACAACTTCTCTATGCCTCCGTTCTCCCTACATACAAAATGAAAGCTACAAGAAATTCTCATGAAAAGATTAATAGTTTAACATTATTGTTTTGAGAGCTTCAATTCAACAAGATAGGACAGCGGGCCTGGCAAAATAGGAAGAGAATCTAGTGTGGAGGGCCTTAAATGCTAGGCCGAGGAGTTGGATCTTAATGTAATAAAGATGTGTAAAGATCATCGAACAGGGTAGCAGCCTTATCATCGATGTCTTAGGAGGAAAACCGGCAGCAGGAGGTAGAATGGAGGAGAGAGAGATGGAAATAAGAAAAGTTAAGAGAGTATTGCAAAGGTCCAGACAGATACTGTGGAAGGGAGGAGAGGGAGGACTGGGACCAATTTAAGAGATGAGACAGACGATTTACAGATGCAACAGAATTTGTTACTAAATGGTGTGACGAGTGAGGGAAAAGAAGGAGGATTTGAATAGGACTTTGAGGTTTCTGGTCTGAGAAATGTAAAGAGGCTGACGCCATTAAGTGACTGGAAGCACAAGGATGGCATGTGCGTTTGTGCGTGTGTGCGTGTGTGCGCGTGCGTAACAGGTGACATGGGGCAAAGGTTAAAGAATGATTTTGTCCCGTCTTTTGTGTTTTTTTTTTTTTTATTTTTTCACTGGACAGAGAGAGCACAAGCAGAGGGAGAGAGAGGGAGAAGCAGGCTCCCCGCTGAGCAAGGAGCCCGATGCGGAACTTGATCCCAGGACTCTGGACCCGGGCCGAAGGCAGCTGCTTAACCGACTGAGCCACCCAGGTGTCCCTTGTCCCGTCTTTTGAATTGCCTGTGGACACCCATGTGGTGCTGTCCGGCTGGACAGTTAGAGTAGGTCTGGAGGCACTTGTTCATAAAAAGGAAAGGAATCCTCTTGTAACGCGAACAGGTCATTTTTATAGTCCTCACCATTAGCGCCCTAAACCCTGAGGTTATTACCTCACCAACAGTAAAAAGCTGGATTACAGCTCACTGTGTGAAGGCCCTTAGTTCCCACAATTTCTATGAGCAAAATATTAATTGTGTTTAATTGTTGTGCGGCATAATACAAAGACTAGGCGATTTATTGTGGCTTCTGGAGGGCGTTTGTTTGGTTTTTTCGCGGCAGCCCTCAGGGGAAGGAAACTGGACAGCTCCCCAGGTGGCATTCGGCCCCTTCCGGGTCAGAGCCAGCCAGCCGCGACCTGCCCGCAGCCATGTGGGTCTGGGCCTTCGGACCCTTTCCGACTGGGGTGCTCCAACGTCGGGCGGAGGGCCCTACCTTCCTTCTTCCTACGGCTTACGGCCCCCGGCCCCCCGCGCCAGGGCGGGGCGGGGCAGGCTGCCCCGAGACCCCGCCTCCTCCTGCCGCCACCAGCCCCGCCTCTCCCGCTGCTGCCGGCTCCCTCCGGCCCCCCGGTGCGGTGCGCGCCTGCGCCGGCCCTCGCCTCGGAGCAGCCATGATGGTGGGTGTTCTCAGCGGCGTCGAGCCCCGGGCGCGCGGTGGGGGCGACGGGCGCGGGGCGGGAGCGGGGGCCGCGCCGGCCTAGCACTAATGTCTCCTTTTGTGTCTCCCCAACTCCATCTTCTCCCCTGGTGCGCCGGGCCCGGCGACCCCGCAGGAAGGCCTGGACGACGGCCCCGACTTCCTCTCGGAGGAGGACCGAGGAGTAAGTTCTGCTTCTTTCTCGCTCACGGGACCCTTCCGCCCAAGCCTTGGCCCCTGGATGTGGTACCAGAAAGGGTCCCCGGTCGCGCGGCACCTTCTCCCCGGCGTTCTCCTTTCGGTTTCCTCGCTGCACCGCGCCCCGCCCTTTTGCAGCCGTTCCTCCCTCGGGGCCGCTCCGTTCTGATTTCCCGGGGACCCACGGCCGCTTTCTTGTCCCCCGCCCCGACTCGGGCCCCCCTTTGGGCCTCCTCCCCCTCCCCGGCTCGGGGCGCAGGTGGGAAGTGGAAGTGGAGGCCGGAGCTGGGTCCTCACCCCCCCACCCCCCGACACTTGGAGGGGCTGTGAAAACCCATTCTCAGACCTTTGTGGCGGCACCCTCAGTTTTCTCCCGTTGTGGACCTCGAACCCGCTGCCGCCCACTCTTCTTCTACAACAGATATAGTACAAGCTTTTTCTATATTACCCCTTTGCGAGGAATTTTACAGTTGCCGAACCTTAACTCTTATCCAGTATCCTACCAGATTTTGCAAAGTGCTGGAAGCTCACGGTACCTTCACGTTTCTTAATGTCCAGAAAATACATCTTTTGCGGAGTTCCCTTGGTGATGGTTTGAGGCCAGTTGCCTGCCACTTAAGAAAGGGCCTCCAGGCTCCGATTCCTCCCTCCCACTCTCTCCCCCTCTATTTGCCTTGGCTGAAGGGGGGTAATCTGTATAGTGCCTTGTACAAGTGAGCACTTGAAAAATACTGATATATGATGATTGCAGCTCAGCAAGGTTCCTTGGGTCCATCACATTTAACAGCCTGCACTTCAGTTTTCCATTTTACCTTTACTTATTCATGTTAGATAATGAGAGAGACACATCAGTTAGTCGATTTTTGGCAAGTGACAAAATATTGTTGTGGGATATTACTGCTTTTTAAATAAAAGATGAGGCAGTATTAACTGATGAGTTTTATAAAGTTTTCAGATGGTAAGAAGGATGCAGAGGGGGCTGCATACATTTTAATAAGTGATGTTTTAATAAATTTCTCAGTTTACACAAATCATCATTTAGAATTTCTAGTTAGTGTGAAAGCATAGGATTTCTGGTTATTTCTATAAAGTTTAGGTTCTAATGAGTTTTAAAAAACGGTGTAGGTGTGTATATCTCTCTTTTCTGTGATAAGACCCTAGCGATAGATGGCTACTAAAAGTTACGTTTTGGGGGGCGCCTGGGTGGCTCAGTCGGTTGGGCATCTGCCTTTGGCTTGGGTCATGATCGTAGCGTTCTGGGATCGAGCCCCGCGTCGGGCTCCCTGCTCAGCTGGGAGCTTGCTTCTCCCTCTGCCTCCTGCTCCCCCTGCTTGTGATTGCTCGCTCGCTCTCTCTCTCTCTCTGTCAAATAAATAAATAAAATCTTTAAAAAAAAAAATTACGTTTTGGATTTTAAAATAGGGAAGCCAGTTAGAGTTGTGTAATGAAAGGAGATGAATTGATTATAGTATAATTAAACTGATTTTTCTAAATATAAAGCAGTTGACACTCTTTATTTAGATAACTTTGTCTCTAATTTTTGTGGTCTACCCGAAAAAGCAAACAGGATTTGCTTTCCTGTAAAATCTGAATAATGTTCAGTAAAAGTATTAATTTTTTTGAGTATTTTGATATGAAAAGCAGAGTATTTTCTGGTTAATATTTGCATTCATTGCTTTATGCCTTTGGTAAGATTTGTTTATGAAACTCGAAGCACTTATGTAATGTGTCCAAAAACTTTTTTCATGTATTATTTTTTTAAAGGGAAAGGGAGACAGAGAGCATGCCTGATCAGGAGGAAGTGGAAAAAACATTACCATGAATTTTTTTACAAAGCATTTAGACTGTCATAGTGAATATGTATATATGTCCAGTTCTTCCTTACTTTTTGTCCTGTGGAACTGGGTGAATCATAGTAGTAATTATAGGTGGGCACTGTGTTAAGTACTGTATAAGCATTGTTTCATTATATCCTGTCATTATCCTTGTGAAACTTTTAGTATTCACCTTTTACAGATTAGAAATCTGAACCTTGGAGGACATGACACCTGGATGGCTCAGGTCATGATCCCAGGGTCCTGGGATCGAGCCTCGCATTGGGCTCCCTGCTCGGTGGGAAACCTGCTTCTCCCTCTCCGACTCCCCCTGCTTGTGTTCCTGCTCTCACTATTTCTGTCAAATAAATAAATAAAATCTTTAAAAAAAAAAATCTGAACCTTGGAGAAATTAAGTAAGCGGTGTAAGGTTCATACAACCAATGAGTGGTTGAAGTGGACTTTTTTTTTTTTAAGCTTTTTTTATTTATTTGAAAGAGAGAGACAGAGATAGCAAGAGAGAGCACAGGCAGGGAGAAGAGGAAGAAGCAGGCTCCCCGCTGAGCAGGGAGCCCCATGTGGGGCTCGATCCCAGGACCCTGGGATCATGACCTGAGCTGAAGGCAGATGCTAAACCGACTGAGCCACCCAGACGCCCCTGAGAAGTGGACTTTAAACTAAACCATGGTTCTGATATCAGAACCAGTACATGTATTTCTCAGAGTGGCCCTGAAACATTTGCTTCAGAATCACCTGTGGTGTTTGGAAAACAAAAGTTTCTGGGTTGTGCCCTAGGAAATCAGATTCTCCTGAAGTAGGGAGAAGGACAGATAACTACTTCTTTTTTTAATACTTTTTTTCTTCTTCTTTTTTTAAATCCAGTGTAATTGCCATGCACCCTGAAGTTTGATTACAGCTGCACAGTTATCCTGCTCTCCATCATTTCAGGAACAGAAATATCTGGCCTGTTTAAATTTCCTTATATTGTGTTTGTTCTGAAATAGACTGCCATAATTAGAACTTTGAGACATTGTACTTTTAGTTTAGGTTATCTTGTTCAGCCTTTTAAGAAACTCTTGAGAGAGAAAAAGCAGGAAGTGCGTGTATCAATATGAATTTTTATATAAATCACAGATTCAGAAATAATGGTAAGCATTTCATACAGAGCAGCAAGTAAGCAAAATTAAAGTCAGTATTTTTAAATACATTCTTAAGCAGCCTTAAATTTTCATCATGATTTTTGGAACAGAAGAGAATCTTAGCCTTAAAAAAATATTGTGAAAAACTTAAAAAGCGGGCTTTAAGAAATACACAGTATTGAAAATTACTGGCCACTCTTCAGCCATACCTCTACATAATAGGCTTTTTTCTTCCCCAAAATGAAGGACAGTAACATATTATTTAGTAAACAAATGAGCCCTTTGAACTAGACACATTTTGCTCTGATGTAAGAGCCGTGGGTGCCAGTGTGTTGGCATAATTCTCTTAGCATTTGATTTTAATTCTAAATAATATGTTTATTGTTTCCAAAATTACTCCAGGTGGAGTAACTACACCTCTCCTGGACTCCTAACCTTGCTCCTCCCTGTCTATTCCTTATCTTTGTCGTGTTATCATTTTCCAGTCATGCAAGCAAGAAACCTCTGAATTGTCCTATCAGAATAGTCACTGAGGCCAGTTAATTTCTTTTTTTTTTAAGGTTTTATTTATTTATTTGTCAGAGAAAGAGCACAAGCAGAGGGAGTGGCAGGCAGAGGGAGAAGCAGGCTCCCCACTGAGCAAAGAGCCTAATGCGGGACTTGATCCCAGGACCTTGGGATCATGAACTGAGCAGGAGGCAGACGCTTAACTGACCCAGGCGTCCCTGAGGCCAGTTAATTTCATCTCAAAAATGTTGTTTATCCTGTCTTTATTTGTACAGCCCCACTTGTCCTTGCTATTTCTTGCCTGGATTGTAGTAGTGCCTGTCATTGGTCCGTGTCTCCTGTCTACCTTTTAATCCAGGCTTCACATTATTTAAAGTTACCTAACTTTAAATGACTAAATCATATAACGACACTAGTCAAAAGTATTTTTTTGGACCCAGTTCTTCTTGCAGGAAGGTTCAAACTCCTTGGGCTAGCATTAAGCACCGTTCGTGACACTTTCAGGCTGGCTTCATTTCTCAGTATATCTTTCCTGCTAGACATATTCTAGTCTGCTTGTCATTGGCCAGGCACTTTAATGTCTGCTTTATGCATGCTTATTAATGTGGTAGAGTGCTTTTCTTCTCACCTTTTTTTTTTCCATTTGAAATTTATTTTTGAAGACGTGGCCAGATGTTTACATTTTCTTTTGTACATACACAGCATGTAGTTTGAGCATATTCCAAATTTATTGATAGTTATTTTAGATAAAAATGTGACATCGATTATGTTGGCAGAGGATGAGAAGATGAATGTTGGCAAAGGAAAAATGGAAGGTTCCTACCCTAAAACCATCACAGTGTAGTGACAGACTTAGATAAAGTGCCAGGGGAGTACAAAGGAGGGAGGGAGTGTTTGCCTTTGGGAGAAGGGGAAGTAGTGAAGACAATGATAGCTACATACCTATGTAGCATTTACTGTGGGCCAGGTACTTTCCGTATATTAACTCAATTCTCAAATCCCTGTTAAGTAGCTGCTACTATTCTAGTTTGGGAAGGAGAACTGAGGTTCAGAGAAATTAAATAACTTGCCCAAGGTTATAACAGCTAGTATGAGCTGGTTTCAGACTCAGGCAGTCTAGCTCCAGGTCTGGCACTCTTAACCACTGTGCTATCACCTAAGTGAGCTAAGCCTTAAATATTGACCAGGAATTTTGTAGCCTCTCAGGGAAGGGGAAGGCTTGCCAGCAGAGTGGAGAGCCTGGGTAGGTAATTTGGTTTCACCTGGAGCACTTGTTCTCACAGGAAGCAGGGGTAGATAATGGATAGTACAGATGAGTGTAAAGTGCATAATAATTAAGATTCTAGGCAGTGGGAAGTCCTTGGGGATTTTAAGCTGGTAAAGACGTATGCCCAGATGAAAATAGCATTGTAGATTACTCTGATGTGGAGGGTGGGTTGATTCTTCCTTTCACAAAGCAGAGAAGCCAGTTAACAGGCTATTGTAACAGTCCATATGAAAAATGATGAAGGTATAACTAAGCAGTG